TGCGCCAGCGCGGCCCGCGACGCCTCCATTGCCAGCGGCTAATTCGGTAGTTCTGCTTTTCTGTCTTTAGCAGCTGACCACAACGCTCAAGAGGCGGCTCGCAAGCGGCGGCACGGCTCTCGACTCTCCCAAAATCGTGCTTTCACCCTGTGGCAGCTCGGGAACTGAGGTCGTCATTGAGGTCGACCGGGTCAGCCGTCGGCGCGGAGCCTGCTGGGGCTGCCTGTCTGCGAGGGCGGCGCCGTCGTCGGCGGCGGGCTGGGCTGCCTGTCTGCGAGGCGGCGTCCCGCGATGAAGGAGGCGCTGGAGCTGCTCGTGTCCGGCGGCAGCCAGGAGGCGCTGGAGCCCTGCGTCGCCGCCGGCGTCGTCGGCGGCGCGCCGGCGGCGGCGCGCGGCACGGCGCCGGCGCCCTCCGTCGCCTACGCGACGCCGGTCGTCGACGTGCGCCTCGCCTACGTCTTCGCGACGCCCTTCGTCTACGGGCGCCGCGACGGCACGACGAGCGCCGTGCCGTCCATCGACGCGGCGCAGGAGCTCGTGCTCGTGCGGTCCGCGCTGCGGTCCGCCGGGCGACGGGTACGATTCGTGGCCGAGGTCGCGACCGCGCAGCGGATCCGGCGCTTGATGACCCTGGGCTGCGACCTCCTCCACTATTCGGGCCACGGCGTCTCGGAGGGGCTCGCGCTGGAGGCGGACCGCGGCGCGGACGTCCACGTCGTCTCGCGCGACGCGCTCTGCGCGCTCATCGGCGCGGGCGGCGAGGTCCGGACGCGGTTGGTTTTTGTCTCGGCCTGCCACAGCGAGCCCGCGGGCCGCGCCTTCGTGCGCGCGGGCGTGCGGCACGTCGTCTGCGTCAAGCGCGACGCCAAGGTCTCGGACGCGTCGTCGCGGACGTTCGCGCGGCAATTTTATCTGGCGCTCCTCGTGGGCAAGACCGTGCGCCAGGCCTTCGACATCGGCGCGCGGTCCGCGTCCGTGGAGCAGGGCAGCAGCACGGGCGCGACGGCGGCGTCGGCGACGGACGGGTCGACGAAATTTCTCCTGTTGCCGGAGACCGGCGACCACGGCGTGCCGTTGGTGGCCACGGGCGTGCCCGAGGGCGACTTTGTGGACGAGACGCGGCCGCCCGCGCCCAACGGCGCGCCGACGGCGCCGAAGCCCTTCGTGGGCCGCGCGCGCGAGCTCGCGGAGACCGCGCGCTACCTCAGCGCCGGCGCGCGGTGCGTCTCCGTCGTCGGCCCGCCGGGCATCGGGAAATCCGCGCTCGCGTCGAAGATCGCGGAGTACGTCGCGCTGCGCCGGACCTACGGCGCCGTCGCCGTCGCCGCCGTCGACGACGCCGGCGACCCGCGCGACGCGCTCGTCGACGCGTGCCGCCGCGTCGCGCCGCGGAAGGACGTCGCCGCGGCGGCGTCCGACGACGTCTTCGGCGCGCTCGCGGCGGCCGCGGGCGGCGACGCGCCGCTCCTCGTCATCGTGGACTTTTCCGGCACGCAACCGAGCGGCCTCGTGCGGGCGCTCTCGAAGATTTTGCTGCGGACGCGCGCGCTCGCGTTCTTGGTTTTAGCGGAGCGGCCCCTGCACGCGTCGACGCCGGAGCGGCTCGAGAACGAGGCGGAGAAGGTCGTCGAGCTCGGCGCGCTGGACCGGCGGAGCGCGGCGCTGCTCCTGGTCCAGCTCGCGCCGCGGCGCCTGCTGCGCCACGAGACGGGCGGGCCGGACGGCGGCATCGAAGGCCTCGCGAACCACGCGGTCGTGGGCGCGCTGCGGGGCAGGCCCCGGGCCATCGCGCGCTTCGCCCCGAAGCTCCAGCACCTCTTCCTCGATCGCAACGGGCCCGAGCTGCTGCGCGCCGCGCAGGACGCGGCCGCGGACGCCGTCGTCGAGGCCGCGCCGCCGCCGCCGGCGCCGGCGAGCCCGGCGTTCTCCTACGACTCCGCGGAGGAGATCGTCACGCGGGCCCTCGACGCCGACTTCCGCGACGCGGTGCCCGGGCGGCGCTTGTCCGGCGACGACGCGGCCTTTTTGATGGCTCTGCGGCGGGACAAGGGCGAGCCGCTGTTTCGGTCGTGGTGGAAGGCGTGCCTCGAATTGATCCGCGCGACGCGGCGCGAGTGGGCCGCGCGGAGGCCCGTACTCGTCCAGGGCTTCGTGTCCCGCGCGGCGGCGCAGAAGCTGCTCCTCGGCGCCGGCGCGGCGCGGGGCGACTTCCTGCTCCGGGTCTCGGAGTCGCGCGACGGGCGCCTCGTGGCGTCGTTCGTCGGCGACGGGCGGGCCGTGAACCACTGCCTGATCAGCTCGGACAAGGGCAAGGTCTCCATCGCCATCGGCACGCGCAAGAACGAGGTCTCCCACTACGACTCGCTCCGCAAGCTCGTCGTGGATTCGAGGAACCTGCTGAGGCTCTGCCCCGGGCGCGCGGACAAGAAGGACGCGTTCGCGCAGCTCGCCGAGGCCGGCGGCGCGGACCCGGCGGCGACGACGGCCATGCTCCTCCTCGACCTCGGCGGCGGCGCGCCGCCGCCGCCGTAGCCGTAGCCTAAGTGCATTCTTCATGTTGCAGTGCTTGTCACAAGTTGCAGCGGAAAAAATACCGCGCCAGCATCTGAGCATATGGGCCTTCCATAATTGCTGGCGCGGTCGAAAAGACGAGGCGCGGGAGCGGCCGCCGGCGCGGCATGCGCCGCGCGCGCGACGGGGAGGACGTGGCGAAGCGCCGGCGCTGCTGCGCCTGGCTCTCCGACGTCTTCCGAGGATGCTGCCGGCGCGGTCCGGCGGCGGCGGCGGAGCCGTCGGACGACGGCGACGTCGAGCTCGGCGGCGGCTCGTCGCTGCTCGTCGCGGAGCGAGTGCGCATGATCCAGCAACTGGCCGCGCCGCCGCCGCCGCCGCCGGAAGCGCCGACGCCCGGCCGCGAGCGCTGCCCGTCCATCGCCGAGCGGCGCGCCATGCTCGAGAAAAAGACCACGCCGCCGCCGCCGCCGGAGCGCACCCGGTCGGCGTCGGCCGAGAAGCTCCGCGCGATGCGGTCCGCGCGCGCGGCCCCGCGCTGCGGCTTCTGCGGCCTCGACGTCTTCGCCGCGGAGGCGCAGCGGTCGCGCGGCGAGGTCTACCACGCGGCGTGCTTCCGCTGCGGCGCCTGCGGGAAGGCGTTGGCGGGCGTCCAGTGGGGCGCGCGCGCCGACGACGACTTGATGTACTGCGACGACCTGCGACTCGGCTCGTGCCTCCAAAAATTGAAAACGCGCGACCTCGACCACGAACGGGAGGCGGCGAACCAGCGGCTCAGCGCGTCCGACGCGCGCGCGACGGCGAGTGCGAAGCTCAGGGCCGTCGAGGTCATCGGCGACGAGCTCGAGCAGCTCGTGTCGAAGCTCGTGCCCAGGTGCGCGCTGTGCGGGGGCACGTTCGGCGCCTCGGATCGCATGGTCATGCAGGGGATGACCAAGATCCACGAGGCATGCATGCGCGGCGCGGCCCCGGCCGCGGGCGCGGGCGCGAGCCTGACGCCCAAGGTGGCGCTGAAAGACGCGCCCGACTCGCTCCTCGTGAAACTCTCGGCGGGCAAGGTCGTCACGTTCTTCCTCGCCAAGGTCGACGACGCGGATGAGGAGACTGTGCGATACATCCCGGACCCGCAAAGCCGGGCGCCGCACCGGCGCCGGGTGGCTTCCGCCATCGGCGCGGGCGCGCGGTGCCTCTCGAACTCGGGGCGCGACGTGGCGCCGGCCACCACCGTGACCGACGGGTTGCTCGCGCCCTTCCGCTGGACGAGCGCGGGCCTCGACTGGTCCCTCGACGTCGAGTTCCAACTCGACGGCGAGACGCTCGCCCTCGGCGGCGCCGCGCTCCGCGTCCGATCGACCGCGCTCGTATAAAAATGTTACTTGATCGTCGTGTTCGCGTGGCAGAAGATCTGGTGGTCCGAGAGCTGCTTCGCCGAGTGGACGCCGTGGTGCTCGAGGATCAGCTGGGAGTTGCGCAGGCCGTGGGCGGCGACGAACTTGCCGTGGCTGCCGCAGACGTAGCCGTTCATGAGCGAGAAGAGCGTGAGCGCGGCCTGGTCCTGGCGGTGGTTCGCGCGCGTCGAGCCCGGCGGGCAGGTGCAGTCCTTGACGAGGGAGCACGCGAGCCAGTTCTTCGAGATCTTCTCGAACATGGGCGAGCCCCAGACGTGCGCCGAGAACGCGCCGTTGCAGTTCCGGAACCGCTTCAGGTCGTCGCTGAAGGCCTCGTGGTCGTCGAGGGCCGCGCCGCCGGCCTTGCGCTTCTCGACGATCTCGGCCACGAGGGACGCGCCCAGGCCGTAGTGCGCGACGAAGTAGTCGAGCACCTTCTCGTGGAGGAACCGCGCGAGGCCCTTCGCGGTCTCGTCGGAGACGTAGCCGCCGTTCGCGCGCGTCTTCGCGACGACGTTGCGCAGGGGCTGGGCCACGGTCGCGCCGGAGTCGATCCACATGACCACGGACGCGTTCTTCACCTCCGCGGCGACCTCCAGGATGATCGGCGCCTTCCACGCGTAGCAGTGGAGCTGCGCGACGTGCGGCGGGTATCTCCGGAAGTCGAAGTGGCGGTACTCGATGCCGAAGCTGTCCCAGAGGCTCGACGGCGCGGCCTTGCCGGCGTCGCCGTCGGCGCACTCGCCGAGCTGGCCGAGGTTGTAGGCGATGAGCCGCACGGGCAGGTTTTCCTGCCGCGCGCGGTCCTTGATGTCCAGGAGCACAGCGAGCTCCTTGAGCGCGTAGCGGCCGTTCGCTCCCGACACGACCGTCAGAGGTGGCACGTCCTCCACCGCGGCCGCGACCGCCGCGCAGGCCGCGAGCCGCCAGATCATAATTTGCGAAGAGCTGCCCCGCCGGGCCGATGGTGACGTCAAGGGGCAGCCTGCAAAGAGAGCGCTCTCGCGCCGCTGAACGCTCGAATCGCCGCGCGCCTCGACCATGGGCGGCCCGCCGATCCCGCCGGCGCGCGTCGGCACGAAGCTCTTCAAGCACCCGAGCCCGGCGCTCGAGATCGAGATCTTCGTGGACTTTTGCTGCCCCTACAGCCGCAAGCTCTTCGACACGGTCTACGGCGGCGTCGTGGGCGCCGCGCCGGCGGGCCAGGTCGAGCTCATCCTCCAGAACGTCGTCCAGTGCTGGCACCCCCAGTCCGCCTACATGCACGAGGCGTCGCTCGCCGTGCGCGCGCTCGACGAGGCCAAGTTCTTCCCGTTCGCGGCGAAGCTCTTCTCGCGCCAGGTCGAGTTCTTCGACGCGCACATCTGGGACATGAGCCGCGCGCAGATCTACGACGCCCTCGTCGAGATCGCGTCGGAGTTCGTCGACGCCGAGGCGCTCAGGGCGAAGCTCGCGCGGACGATCGTCGAGGGGTCGCTGAACACGGGCAACGCCGCGACGCTCGACCTCAAGTGGGCGACGAAGTACCACCGCGTCCGCGGCGTCCACGTCACGCCCACGGTCTTCCTCAACGGCGTCGAGGCGCCCGACGTCTCCTCGGGCTGGGACGCGGACCAGTGGGCCGCGAAGATCGCCGACTGCCTCCCCAAGTAGGGCCTAAAGACGTGGGTGTGCTTTGCGAGCGTCATGGTTAATCGACGTCGAAGGTCCCGTCGGCGCCGGAGGACCCGATGCTCTCGAGGTACCAGGTGCCCATGAGCGGCGGCCGCCGCCGCTGGCGCGCCTCCGCGATCCAGCGCCGGAGCCGGCCGTCGGCGCAGACCGTCTCGACGACGCAGGTCCCGATCCAGCCGCTCGACGTCGTCTGCCAGGGCCGCGCGACGCGCCAGCTCCGCCCGCGCATCGTCGCGCCGTAGAAGCTCGTCGGGTACGTGTCCGCCGTCATCCGCGCGCTCTCGACGAAGTCCGCGAGGTCGTTCTTGAAGATCCAGCGCAGCGTGTCGCCCGCGATGTCCCAGATGCGCTCGAGCGTCGCGTTCGACTCGTGCACCGACGGGTGCGCGAGCGCGGCGAACAATTTGTCGATCATCGGGCCCGGCTCGTCGTCGACCTCGGGCAGGACCGCGGGCGCGTCGGCGCCCTCCCGCTCGTTCAACAGGAACGCGCGGTACTTCTTGAGCGCCGCGTCGTCCGCGGGCACGTAGTGGCCACCGTCGTGCACGAAGGTCTCGCCGCGGAACACGGCCGCGAGGCGGATCGCGTGCTCCGGCGGATTGATGTCGTCGGCCGCGCCGAGGACGTGGAGCGTCTGCAGGTAGCCGCTCTGCGACTTGACGGCCTCGAGCTCCGTCTCGTAGGGCCGCGGCCACGACGCGCCGTTGATGATCAGCTTCTTCTCCTTGAGGAAGCCGAGCGGACCCTTTGGGTCGAGGATGCCCTGCGCCGCCGCGAAGCCCAGCAGGATCGCGCCCTGCGAGTGGCCCCAGACGGCGTCGACCTTATCTGAATATTCCGCGAGCGCCGCGAGCGACACGTCGACGCCGCCGTAGACCTTGGCCTCGAAGGACCGCGTGCCGGGAGGCAGCGTCCACCACGCCGCGCCGCGGCCCGCCGCGTAGGGCGCGTTCGCGAAGGAAAAGTCGCACTCCGGCAGCGCCGCGGCGATGGGCTCGAAGTATTGCTCCATCGACGCGGCGGTGCCGCCCTTGCCGTGGAGCACGAGCACGCGCAGCGGCCTCGGGGGCTTGAGCGACGACGCGCAGCGCAGCGCGAGGAGGGCCATGGTGGTGTATAGCATGGCAAATTCACGCCTCCATGCTCTCAGCAATTGCTCAAGTCCCAAGACTTCACCTTGGACTTCAACACACCACGTCGCGCTCGGAAAAAAAGCAAGTACTACTCGCGCGACTCCTCGAGGCGCGCGAGCTTCGCGTTGACGCCGGCGAGCTCCGAGCGCACGGCCGCGAGGTCGTCCGCGAGGCGCGCGACGGCCGCGAGGACCGCGTCGGCGCCGGCGCCGTCGCGCGGCGGCGCGGGCGACGGCGGCTCGCCGCGCGGCGTCTTCCGTTGCGCGCGCGGGCTCTCGAGCGGCGCCGCGTGCTTCGCGTCGTGGGCCTGGTCGAAGGTGGCCAGCTCCACCTCGTCGAGGAACCCGTCCTCGACGGCCTTCGTGACCGCGAGGTGCCGCAGGTCGTAGAGCACGCCGCCGAACTCGGACAGGTTCCGGTAGATCTGGATCTGCGACGTCGCGAAGAAGCCCGCCGGGCTCGTCGACGTCAGCGTCGCGTGGTAGACGGAGTGGACCGCCAGCGCGACGAGCTCGCCGAAGCAGTCGCTCCGCTCCATCGTCCGCTCGACGCGGCCCCGGCGCATCGACGGCCGCGTCGGCCGCTTCGTCGGGGGCGTGAAGGTCGCGTCGAGGCCGTTGAGCTTGGCCGACATGCGCTTCTTCGACTTGGAGACCTGGGACTGCCGCCGCTTCAGCGAGTGGCGCTTCTTCGGCGCCTTCTCGGCGTCGTCGGCGCCCGCGAGCAGGCCGCTGTCGCCGGGCCCCGTGAAGTCGCGCGTCGCCGCGGCCGTGCCCGACGCCAGCACGTACATGAGGTCGCCCGTGTCGCCCGTCGTCTGGACGACCTCGCCCGCGTGCGACGCCACGGGCTGGATCGAGTCCGCGAACCGCAGCACGATCGCCGAGTTCTGCCGCTCGAAGAGGTAGCACTCGCGGAAGGGCCCCGGCAATAAAAACTGCATGACGTCCTCGCGAAGCTCGTCGGACAGCTCGTGCAAAATCGCCTGCTCGTCGAGCGCCGTCCGCTCCTCGAAGCCTGCGTGGAATTCGACCGCTGGTTCGGGCGGTCCCGACCAAACTTCGGAATTCTCTCGCTCGGTCACATCGAAGTCGATTCGGCTGATTTTTGGACGCATCGAGTGCTCTCGTCGAGTTCTCGAAGCACGGTCGAAGAGCTTGCGTCAAAGATGTCGCATACAGGCTCACATGGAAGTCGGGTTGAAGATTCGAATGCCGCGCGGCTCGACGCGGCTCTTGTAGAACCGGCGCACGCGACGGTGCAGCTCGCCGGGGAACTGGTGGTGCGCGAGCCACGCGCGGATCGTCTTCATGCGCTCCGCGCAGGCCTGCTCGTTGGCGTCGCTCACGGCGACGAGCGACGAGATGACGCCGATGACGTAGCCGTAGAAGCCGCCGCCGATGCACATGGCGATCATCGCGTAGAACCGCTCCCAGCCCGAGTTCGGGATGATGTCCCCGTAGCCCACGGTCGTCATCGTCGTCATGGCGAAGTACATGGCCGCGAGGTAGCGCGCCGGCACGCGCCACGTCGACGCGCTGTCGCCCTCGCCGTCCCGGGGGTAGTTCTGGAGGAACCCGGGGCCCGACAACACCATGAAGCACGCGAGCAGGTGGCAGAGGAACACGCAGTAAAAGGCCATGCGGACCGCCGTCAGCAGGCAGATCGCCGCCTTCGAGATGAAGAGCTCGTCCAGCGCGTCCGACAGGTTGCTCCCCTTGGACTGGAGCTTGCTCAGCCGCAGCAGTTTCATGACCTTCATGATCTTCCCCAACTTCAGCAGCTTCGCCGCGTTCAGGTGGCTGAACGCGGACCCCAGCAGCAGGTCCAGCGGCGCCGACGACACGAAGTCGAGCGCGAACCAGGTCCGCAGGTAGTGCAGCGCCGCGCGGTCGCCGCGCATCACGAGCCGGTTGTCTTCGTCGTAGAAGCCCGTGCGGAAGTTGATCGCGACGTCGACGATGAAGGCCGCGTCGATGAACCGCTCGACGTGGTACGACGCGTCGCCCGGCGCCGCGTCGACCTTGAAGGCCAGCCGGTAGGGCATGACGACGGCGATGTAGCCGACCATGAGGATCGTCGCGAGGTCCCAGAAGATGCGCGTGTAGCCGCAGGGCTCGAACATGGTCCAGAACGTGAGCTTGACCCACGTCGACACGAGCTCCTCGTCGTCGCTCTCGTACTCCTCCTCGCAGGGCAGCTCGACGCCGTCGAGCACGAACTGGAACCGCTGGCGCTGGAACGACGCCGGCCGCGACCGGTTCGGGGACAGGGTCGCGCTCGAGCCCGGGGACTCCACGGTCACGCAGCGCTCGATCTCCATGACGTTCCTCTCCGCGAGCTCCGCGACGTTCGATCTCGAGGACGAGCGCTCCAGGACGTTCCTCTCCGCGACCGGGGTCACCGCCGCCCGGTCCGCGAAGCTCACGTTCAGGGCGTCGCGCTCCTTCGGGGCGTCGGGCTCCGCCATCATGCCCCGGCAGCACCCAGCCTTGTTGCGGCTGAAAATTAATGGCTGCATCATCAATGCAGTTCAGCGAGCTGGTGTTGCCACAGCTCGCTTTTACCGCGATCTCATTGGCAGTCAAATCGTCGTCGTCCGCCGGCGGCGGCACGCGCCGCCCATGGTCAAGATGGACGAGAGCTACGCGTCCATCAACTCGAGCGAGATGGAGCTCGACAAGTCGGGCCACGCGCTCCGGCAGGAGAAGCCCGCGGAGGCGGAGGTGAGCTGGCTGAAGGCCCAGCTGCTGGCCGTTCTCTACGGCGTCGTCGCGACGGCCATGGCGGCGCCGGTCATGATGTCCTTCGCGTCCATCATCTTCAGCGACGTCTTCTTCGCGCCGTTCCTGCCCCACCTCGTCAAGCTCGTCGTCTGCTCCGCGGCGGTGCACCAGATCTGCTACGTGTGCTCGAGCACGATGGCGTTCGCCGTCGGGCAGGTCCAGGACGCGGGGCTCATCTTCCTCAGCGCCATGGCGCGCCTCGTCGTGCACGACGCGGAGGTCTGGCGGCGCGCGGCGCGCGGCGCCGCGGACGCGGTCGAGGGCGTCGCGGCGCGCGCGGGCGGCGACCGCGCGCTGGAGCGCGCCGCGGGCGGCGTCCACGGCGGCGGGCTCGTCGCCGACCTCGCGGCGAAGACGTCCGTCGAGGCGACGCTGATGCTGAGCGACGAGGTCGTCGTGGCGACGGCGCTCTGGCTCTTGGGCATCGCGACGGCGGCGCTGGGCTTCATGCTCATCGTCATCGGGAAATTAAGGCTCGCGTCTCTCGCCCAGTACCTGCCCGTGCCCGTCGTCGGCGGCTACCTCGCCTACATTGGGTTTTATTGCGGCCAGGCGGGCCTGGCGATGATGGCCAACGAGCAATTGATCGGCCTCGGCGACTGGCCGAAATTGTTCAACGAAGCCGCGGCCGCGCGGATCCTCGTGGGCGTCTTCGTCTGCCTCGCCATCAAGCTCGCGGGCGCGCTGGCGAAGAAGCACCACTGGAGCCGGGCGACGGCGGCGGGCATCATCCCGGGCACGCTCTGCCTCACGATGGCCGTCTTCTACGCGGGCGGGCTCGCCTTCGGCTACTCGCTCGAAGACGCGCGCGAGGGCGGCTGGGTCGGCAAGAAGCCCGCCGTCGCCGCGGCGGATATGAGCGGGACGACGGGCGGCTGGCGCGATATCGCCGTGCTCAAGCCCTGGACGCTCTACTTCCCGAACGCGACGCCGTCGGACATGAGCTCCGTGTTCCTCGGTCTGGGGCGGCTCCTGCCGCAGGTGCTGCCCAACTGGCTCGCCATGGTCTGCGTCGTCGCGTTCTCGT